CTGAGAAGCTCAGTGGTTAGCGGCGCGGCTGCTGATGTCCGCTCACTTGTGTTGGAACCCCACGTCCTCTGCTTCGCTGTGTGACGGTAAGCAATTGCTTCACTTCTCTGTGGGCAGATTTTTTAAAAATCCTTGCAAAATAAGGGTAATGTAACCACCATAGGGCTTTGGCGACGACTGCAAAGATCTCAGTGGGCAAAGGCTAACTTGTAACAATTGTCTGATACATAACAGCGAGTATTGTTTCATCCAGAGGCACAGCCCCATGGTACCCACCCTGGAAATCGAGGCTGGGGCAGTCAGGGGAGGTCACAGAGGTAAGCAGGTCACAGAGACTAAGCAGGTGAGCGGGTGGAGCTGGAGTGCCTCCTCCCCAGCTGCACTGTTTGTTCAGGGGGGTAGGGAGAAGGAAGTGGGGGCGAAGGCAGAGGGAGCTGAGACCAAAGATGCCCCCCCTCTGTCCTTTCCTTTGAAAGGAAGGAGTATCTGTTGTGCCTCTTCCCACCCAATCTTATGTCCCTGGCCTCAGGAGTTCCAGCCCTAAACCACGGGGACTGAGCAGTTACCCTCCTCTCCAGACCTGGGGCAATGAATGCTTTGCTTGCCTGACTCACTCACTCATTCATTCATTCATTCACTCTTCAGTTATTCACCCAACAGATATTCGCTGAGTGGCGCTGTGTGCCCGGCACTGGATGTCTCGCTGAGAGGCGGCAGACGCAGACTCCCATTCTAGCAGGAAGACAGGCACTGAACCAAATAACCCAGGCCACGTGGGAGGTGATGTCAGGCCAGGGTAGATGCTGTGGAGGAGATAAACCGGCAGAGGTGACAGAGCAGGAGCTGGGGCAGTGAAGGAAGGCCTCCCAGAGGAGGTGACCCTGAGCACTCAACCTTGAGGAAGACTCTTCTTTTCTTTTAATTTTTATTTATTGACTTGAGAGAGAGAGAGAGAGAGAGAGAGAGAGAGAAATCAATCTGTTGTTCCTCTTATTCATGCATTCATCGGTCGATTCTTGAGTGTGCCCTGACCTTTGGATCGAATGGATAGAACCAATAACCTCGGAGTATTGGGAGGAAACTCGAACCACCTGAGCTACCTGGCCAGGCTAAGAAAGACCCTTCTTCACCACCACCCCCTCCCCCTGCTGTGCGCAGAGCCTCTGGAGCCCACGGGAGGGGGAAGCTGCTCTCTAGGAGGGCTGGGCGGGAGATTGGAAAGGGAGGGAAGAGGGAGCAGCCAGAGCAGAGCCTTCTGGGGCTGTGCAGGACTTGAGGCAGAGCACTTTGCTCCCCCACCGTTGCTGGTGCCCAGGGGAGTGAGCTGAAGTGCAAGGAAGGGCCCGGAGTGTCAGAGGCCGCAGAAGACGCTGTGAGACAAACAGTAAACCAAAGGGGGGGCCTTAGCTTCAGGAGAAACAGCTCGTGGAGGCTGAAGCCACCAGATGGCTTGGAGGGCGCCCTGTCCTCTTGTGGAGGGACGGAGCGGGGGTGGCTAGGCACTCAGCGCCAGACAGGTGGGCGGATGGGCCAGCTGATGGGTGCACAAAGGATAGAAGGCACATGAAAGTAACCAGCTACACGTATCAGCCTTTTCCCCAGAAAGGTGTGCGTGAAGGGACTCGGGAGAGAGGGGTCGGTGGTCTTTCTTAAGGCAAATGATTTGCCCAGAATGTTCTCACGTGGTTGCAGGTAAAGCCACAGGCATGGCCTCACTCACTGGCAAGCACATGCTCGCCCTTTCTGAGTCCAGCTCTCAGGTGCAACGCAGAAAAGCAGAGGCTCTGTCGCAGGTTCCAAGGACATAGGCCCTCAGTGCGCCAGGATGGGTTCTGGCTGAGGACGCCTAGTGCCTCACCACGGTGCCCTTGGTCTGAAAGCCCCTGGGATGGCCAGGGAAAGGTTGGCTAAGGAGGCAGTAATTGAGCGGGTAATAAACAGTGCCGGGTGTGTAGGTGGTCTGACGCAGCATCCAAAGAAAGCTTCCAGGCATGAGGCAATTTTTTTGCATTGAGCATGCAGTGCAGAGGTTACCCAGAATACTGCCTAATGGCAATGATACCTGTCTCCAGGTCCTTCCCCACCCCATCCCACCTCATGCGTTTCCGTTCTCATAGTCTCCCCCTGTGTCTAGGCCTGAAAGTGGGGGTGGGAGGAGCGGAGGGGTTGCTGTCACCCTCTGGGTGCTTGCAGGCAGCCTCTCGGCCCTCGGACCCAGTCCCTGGCTCCCTTCGAACCCCTTGGCAAAAGTGCACCTCTCAGACCCTGGACTGCACGGCGTTTTCATCCTCTCATCCAACACACGGTTATGGGTGCCTACGACGGGGCCAGCCCTCCGGCGAACAGGACAGGCCTGGCCTCTGCTCCGAGAGAGCTAGCTGTTCCTGCGCACCCCTGAGAAGCCCGCATGTTCCTGGTTTTGTTGCTTCATTCGTGAGGAAGGGGAGGGAGAGCAACTCGTTTTCCTCAGTTAGAGGAAACCAAAGATGTTGGGAGCTGGTGCCTGGCTGGGCAGTGGAAGGGACTCGGGCTCTGAGAGCCCTGGTTTCGGTGTTTTATTCCACGAATATTTGTGGGGCACCAGGCATGGCAGAGACTGCCCTGGGGGAGCCTCCAACTAGCGAGATCAAGACGAACACCCGCCCGAGCAACCAGACAACCACAAAGTCCAGGACGGAGATGCTGCAGGCAGAGCTGCCAATGCAAACTGGGACAGATGGGGAGGCTTTCTGAAGGAAAGGACTCTAGGCTGAACCCCAAATCCTCGGTGAGACGAAAGTGCAGTGGCGAGACGAAAGCGCAGTGGCGAGACTGAGGGATTCAGAACTTGGCAGGATCAGAGAACAGAAAGAGACAGGAGCTGGTTCGGGTGGTGGCAGGCTCGGCTCACCCGCTTTTTGCTCTCTGAGCTTGGAAGAGTAATGGGTTTCTTTGAGTGTCAGTCTACCCATCTGAAAAATGGGCACAACAAGCCAAGCAGCTCCAGTTTGTTGGAGGTGGCTGGGAGGATGACCCGTGGGTGGCGTTTGCACAACTGCACGATAGATGCTCAGTCAGTGCAAGGTCCTCACGTGGCTCAGGCGTGCGGGCCAGAAAGGCGCAGGGGCCCGCCGTGGCGGCGGTTTCAGGCCTAGGCGCCCCTGGCCATGGTTTGCGGAATATCTTTATTAACGAACACTTCAAGGTAAGCCGCGATGGAAACCAGATGTGGGATCCCATCTCGAAGTCACAGTTGGAGGCAGAGCAAGAAGCAAAGATACGAGACACCTAGGGAGCTGGGAGTCGTGTTGGGGTGAGGAGCAGTGGGTATGAGGTGGGGGGGTAGGAGTCTGACCACCAGGTATGTTTTCTTGGAGAGAGCTTATGGACAGATTGACTTCTGACCTGCATTCCTGGGTTTGGGGTGCTCAGGCCCTCGTTTCACTTTGCCCCCTCACTTCTCACCCCACTCCCAACCTCCCTTGAGGTGGGCATGTCCTCCACACACGGATTTTCCCTGCAGTGTATCAAGGGTTTCTGCAACTGGTGTCCTTGAGACCCAATCATTCCACAGCCAGACACCCGTTTTCTTCGTGTGTGTGTGTGTGTGTGTGTTTGTTTTGTTTTGTTTTGTGTTTTCCACAGCAGAAATGTCCTCCCAGGTCGGTGAAGGGACTAGATTCAGCATGGGTTCCCCAAACAGCGCTGCTACTTCGGGGCTGTGTGACCTCGTTCTGGTGACCGCACCTCTCTGAGCTTCGGTTTGCTCATGGGAAAATTGGGGCCCCCAATCTCCACCACTCAGGGTTGTTGTGAGGCACAGTGGATGATTGGCTGTGTGGAAGGGGCTCGGTGCTCCGGGAAAGTTCTTCCCCGGCTGCCGCGGGTCCCAGGGAGGTGCACCTCCGTGAGGGAAACCACAGTCCATCAAACCAGACATCGCACACCGCCTCACCCCCACCTCCAGCTGTGAGCAGGTGACAGCGCAGCGACGGGGCGCTGCCAGCCGGGCTCCAAACTCCACACCCTCCACCAGCCAGCCAGAAAATCCCCTGGGCTGGGCGCAGACTGAGGTGTGCGCGGCCCTGTCCGGGGCCAGGAGGGCAGAGAAGGGGAGGAGGCCTTGCTCTTAAGTTTCCGAAGCCTGGCCCAGCGGAGAATTTCTCCCGTGGCCGAGAGAGACAGCACAGGCCCCTCCGCACCCCTACCCAGAACCCTCACGGGGAAGGGAAACAGTGAACCCACGTGAAAGTGGCCGCGCACAGGGCGCGTGTGTGAACCCCATGGAGGAACCGGGAACGGGGAAGAGGGGTTGGAAACACAGAAGAAAAGGCACCAGTGCGGAGGCCCGCAGCTGCGCCGCCAAATGCGCGCGGAAGTGTGCAAAAGACTCTCCCGCACCCGGAGGCTAGCGGCCCATCTGACTCCGAATGTCAAAACCTGTTAGGTTAAAAAAAAAAAAATCTATCACTAAAGTTTTGCATGCCCCCTCCCCTAGGCCAAAGCTGGGACCAGATAATTTTCAGCCTAGCCTTGGGAACCCTAAGGGTCCTGACACCTTCCCGGCTCCGCCTAGAATCGGAAAATCCTTCGGGCGCCTGGGGGTAGAGTCCCCAGGATTCTACCACTGGACGGGAAAGAAAGGGCGGGGGCAATGGAGGGAGAGAAAGGAGAAGGAAGGAGAGATTCTGGGCGGGGTGGGTGTGGGGGGGGGCGGATCACTCTCTCTATTCACCGACCCCTTCAAAAATCTTAAGAGGGTTTGGGAGATCTGGTCAACTCTCCGAAACATCTGAATCTTTTTACAGCCCTCGGTTCTTTCCCTGGGCCAGCTGTGGTGAGGGAGGAGGGGGAGGAAAGAAAAAGTGAGAGAGGGAGGGAGAGAGGGAGAGGGAGGGAGGGAGAGGGAGGGAGAGAGAGAGAATGAGAGAGAGAGAGTGAGAGAGAGCGCGCCGTGGAAGGAGGAGGAGGGAGAGGAGCGAGCAGGCCGGCGCGGAGCGCACAGCCACCGCCTCCTCGCGGCTCCAAACTCCCGGCCAGGGCGCGCGGTGGCGTCCTCGCTCTCTAGCTTGCGCCCCCGCCCGTCGCCCGCGCGAGCCAGGCATGAATGCTGAGACTTGCGTCTCTTACAGCGAGTCGCCGGCCGCTGCCATGGACGCCTACTACAGCCCGGTGTCGCAGAGTCGGGAGGGCTCGTCACCTTTTAGGGCATATCCCGGCGGCGATAAGTTCAGCACTACTTTTCTGTCCGCCGCCGCCGCCGCCAAAGGGCAGGGATTCGGGGACGCCAAGAGCCGGGCTCGCTACAGCGCGGGGCAACAGGACCTGGCGGCACCCCTGGAGAGTAGCGCCGGGGCGCGGGGCTCCTTTAACAAGTTCCAGCCCCAGCCACCCGCCCCGCAGCCGCCACAGCCGCCGTCACAGCCGCAGCCGCAGCCGCCGGCGCAGCAGCCGCATCTCTACATGCAGCGAGCCGCCTGCAAGACGCCCCCGGACGGCAGCCTCAAACTCCAGGAAGGCAGCGGCGGCCACAACGCGGCTTTGCAGGTCCCCTGCTACGGTGAGTGCACGTGCGGGTCCCGCGGGGCTGGGGACCCCAGGGCCCGTGGCTTCGACTCCCTCGAAACCCATTAGGCTTTCGGGAGGCAGGAGTTGGGCTGAGGAGGTGCGTGCGGGCCGAGCAGTGGGCACCTCCCTGTCGGGAAATGGGGATCGACCGCTCCGAAGGTACGGAGAGATTCGTCTTGCCCCTTCACACCCACCCTCGCCACGGCCAAGGAGCATTTGAGCTATCAAACTCGGAGTTTCTTCCACCCCTTTGCCCTTTCCTCGACCGCTCGCTTTGCGCTGCCCGCGCGACCGGCTTTGAAGCGGAATGCTCGCGCTGGCCGTGCGGCGGGAAACAGTTGCGTCGCTGCGCTCGGGCGCGGGGCTCCGGGCTGCCGGGGCCTTGCTCTCCGCCGGCGTGAAGGCGCTTCCCGCGGCGCCACAGGTGGGAGCGTCGCAGGTGCGGAGCCCGGCTGGGAGCGCAGTCGTCGGAGCGCTCCCGGGATGCGGCGGAACGAGGGTGTCACACGGATAGGTCCGGAGACGCCGGGGACCGCGGAAGACCCGAGTCCCGTGGCCCTGGAGCACGGCTCGCCGCGGAGAGGCGGGCCGGCCAGAGTTCCTGAGCGTTTCTCTCCCGGACAGCCCGGGGAGGCTGGCTGGTCTGGGAACAATGGTTTGCGGCCGACCCCGCAGGGAGTCAGGAAGCCGAAGATCTTGAGGGGACTCGGTGCTGGGAGAAGAGGGAAGTTTCTTCGTCCTGATTTAGGCTCACAGAGAACCCGAGGCCTAAATGACCTCCAGGCCCCCTTGAACGCAGGCCTGGGCCCCCAGAGCTCAGCGGCCAAAGTGGAGGAGGGAACCTCTCCCGGGCTGCCTGGGGCCAGAGCAGCTCGGGAGTTTAGGCCCTCGCTCCCAGAATCGGGGTTGGTGAGATCCAACCTGGGCGCAGGGAAACGGAGAAGGGAAGGTCTCCCCTGGACTAGGAGCCCTAGGCACACCGTCTTCCCCGAGGCCTGCAGGCAGCCCGCGGAGATGAGCTGGTGCTGACAGGACAATGGCTTTGGCTGAGTTGATCCTGGCCATTTGGAGAGACACCAGGCCTGGGGACAGAAGCGGGCCATGGTGGAGGCCTTGGCAGCTAGAATAACCTTAGGAAAACGGCCCAGGACAAGCACTTTCTTAAACTCACTGGCTTTCCCTCCCTGGGGCTCAGAATGTGTTCATTAGGTTGTTGTTGACACGCAGGAACATTCACACAATCACATGCCTGTCTACACTTGCATTCTACACACACACACACACACACAGAACCTCTTCCTCGGGAGCCAACGTGGTCACACATCAAGGACACTCACTCAAGTGGCCTCGCACACAGTCACACAGTCCCAGACCCGTGCGGCAGGACTGAGCAGATTGAGGAAGACTCAGTGGCCTTTCCCACTCCCTCCACCTTCCTGCTGGAATGAGATCAGGCCCCGATCACAGACACTTCCGCGCCATCCACAGGCAGGCGGCCGGACCCCCAGCCCGGTCCACACGCACTAGCCTGCCTCCTGGCCTCACCCAGGGCCTCCTCGCCCCCGCAGTTGAGACCGCTAGGTGAGAGCAAGTCTCACGCTGGGGGCACCCATGGAGGTTTGCAAAGCCAGGAGAGTCGCTGCTTTCTCTTCCACTGCACTGTATTTTCATGTTTTAAAGAAATTCACCAGTGAGACTTCTGAGAAGAATGAGACATTAGTTAGGCAAGGAGAGACCTTCTTGTCTGGAAGATGCCTTGAGGTCTAGAGGGAAAGAGCTGGCCCTTGCTGAGCCCCCTCTCTGAGCCCTCCTGTGCCCTCACATGCCAATGTGGCCCTTCCCTTGCTTGCCTTCACCATCCAGGCTCCCCACGTGTGACCTGAGAGCAAGTGTCTAAGTCCTCTACACCCCAGTGCTCTTCTGCATCATGGGGAGGTCATAGCAAGACCTCACCGGGTAGTAAATGTCCCCCCCGTGGAGAGAACAGGAGTCTGGCCTACCCTCTTCCACGTTTCCATCATCGGGGCAGCCTCCGTGCTGCCGGGAACCTCAGCACCCAGTTCTGAGGGCGGGACAGGCGCCTGCCCCGGCTGTGGGCAAGGCCATCGGCTGCAGTCTGGGACAAAAGGCAGCCTGGAATCACGGACGAGACCCCACTCCCTGGCCACCAGAGATGGAGGCAGTGCTCGGGGCAAAGCCACAAACAACAAACAGCTCTGTTTATTCTTCTCCTTCTCCCAGCAGCTGTTTCCCTGCCTTGGGAGAGATTTCTGGTCCTTGTACAAAAGAGGTCAGGCTGTTAGGTACAACGGGAGGAACTGGAGGCACCAAGAGGTGAGGCTCTGCCCTTTGCAGAGGCAGCCGGGAGGAGGGCCTGTAGACGGCCAGGAAAGAGGGAAACTGAGGCAGGTGTTGACAGCTGGTCTTTCCCGCACTTGTCAGAGTGCGTTCAAGAAAGAGGTTCAAGGGAAAAGCGTCGAGATATTCCCAGGAGCTCGGGGGAAAGTGGGGGCAGACAGAGCCCTGGCTGGGCTGAGTCTGGACTCAGCACACCTGGATCCTGGCCCCAGGTAGCGTGGACTTTGCAACCTCCTTCCCAGCTCGGCCGGTCTGGGGCAGAAACCAGTTCCTTGATTGTAACCACACGGAGCAGGAGGCAAGGCTCCAAAGTTTTCTCCGGAACCTCAGCCCCAGGAGCCACTCCCTGCTTTCAAGGGGCTCTCTGCCAGCGCGGTGCGGGCCTGGACGCGGGGGTGCGCCAGGGCCACGACGCGGGAGCGCGCGCGGCATGGAAGCCGCCTCTGTCTGCCACAGCCGAGTTTCTCCGAGTTGCCAAAAGTGGAGGTGAGAAATCCTCCCAGGCTCCTGTCATCTCAGCTCCTCACTGCGCCTCCGTTTCCCGGAACAGTGCTAAACGGGGCAACAAAGCAAAAAAAAAAACGAGCAGGATGACGGGCAGTCCCCTCCAGCACAGCACGGACAGCTTTATTCGCGTCTTTACCAAAGAGCCCCACCCGGGTCTCGCCTGCCGCGATCCGGACCACGCCGGGCTCCGGGTCCGCACTTTGGCCTTCCCAAGTCCCTGCCCATCCTTGGCCCGTTTATTTTTGACCACGTGGGCTCCAAAGAGACACGCCGGGTTTGGGATCCTACGTTTCTCGGCGGCAAGAAGAGCCTCCTCGCCCCTGGGGTGGGGGCTCAGGCAACTCTCCCCGACGCCCTCGGCCGACGCCCGAGCCGCCCCACGCACACCAAGCCCCGTGCGCCCCCAGATGCTGCGGGGAGCGGCCGGCTTCCTCTCTCTTTCGCTTTCGGTTCGGTGCATGCAGGTTTTCGTTGGTAGCGGATTGCTACCTTCCCACACACTCCGGCAGAAGGCCGCGCTCTCAACCCAGGGGTCTGGGGAGAAGTCTGGGGCTGGTCTGGATTTTAGACGCAGTGTTTGAACGCTAGCAATGCTTATTTCCACTCACCAACACAATCACATGCCACAAAATGTGTGAGCTCTGCCCTAGTCCGGCTGTATTCAAATTTAATCAAAGAACCAGCGTGGGCTTTTGAGTTGGACCCTCCCAAAAAAAAATCATTGAGAAACCTAGGTATAGGCAGAAGCATTAAGAACCCGGGGTGATCGTGGGGTGATCCAGGGGAAACTCGAGCCTGGGGGCTGTGCCATCGCAGAACCCGGTGGGGTTTGGAGGAGAGGAATCAGAAGGAAGAGGCTTTTAATTTTTTCACTTTGTTAATGTCTATAGCTGCCAGCAGTTCGGCCTAAACAGACACATTCTTAAACGGAACAAAAACAAGCCCTGGATTACAGGGCTGGTATGATTTTAAATCAATCGATTCGAACACAGTTTTCTTTCCTGTAAGAGATTTACACGCAGCGAAGCGCACAGAGCTGAGCGGGACGTTCGGAGAGTCCTTCGGGGTAACCACCTGGTTACCTGGACCGAAACGCCCGTCACGTGTTGTGTGTGTACACGAACACTTCGGGGGGGGGGGTTTGCTTTGTAAGTCGTCCCAAGACAATCGCAGAAGACACCTCGGTGAGCTGCGGGTCCTGCCTTGCGCCAGACGGTGGGGTTTTCCTGAGTAGGGTGACCGAATGCGCCCCGGCATTCGCCGGCTCCGACTGGAAGGCGAGGTCCCCGCCGGCTGCACCCGGAACCCTTCCGCGGCTGCGGGGCTCCCCGGGAGTCGCCGGAGCCCCAGCCGTGGCGCGGCACGACGGAGCCGTCGTGGGAAAACACGTTAAAACGCCGTTCGTACAGTCCGGCCGAAGTCCCCGAGGACTTTCGTTTTAGGGAGAGGCTGGGTGCGCTTTTCCGGGGAGGGACCTTTATTTTGGCTGTAGCCCGTTCCTCTCTTCCTGCAGCTCCGCGCAGGGCTTTGTCTGAGGGGCACATTGAAATAGGAAATAGAAATACGGCCGTCTTTGCAGCTTTAGGGGTGCGGGGAAGGTGGAACCCCGCACGTTAGTCTGGGGTTCAGGCTTCTCCGCTGACCCCGGGACCAGGGCGCCCGAAGCAGCCCGCAGGGGAAGAAGGGGTAAACGGCCTGGAGCCCTGCGGGCAGAAGATGGAAAATCGGGAGACGGCGCTGGAGCGATACCCTTTCCCTGCCCGAAAGGGGAAGTTTGGGGGTGGGGGCACATCGGAGAAAATGCCTGGGGAGGGGGAGAATTCTCTGCTCTGGTAGCTTCGGTGTCCGCAGCTCCCACGACCCCCAGCCTTCCCAGGCACCGTTTTGGGACAGGGGGAGCCCAGTCAATTGTCTGCACCCGCCTTCCAGGCCCCACCCGGCCCCGTGCTCCCGCAGCCTCGGGGTTCCCCAAGAATCGCTAAAGTGACAGGGGAGCCATCAGATTAGGAAGCCAAGGCAGTGAGGCCCCCTGGCTACGCCGTGACATCGCCCAGCAAATGTGTTCGGAACAAAAGCCACCGGCCCGTCTTGTCAAGGGGTTTCGGGGGCCACACTCTGTTTTCTGGT